GCCACCATACGCCATTAATTTGTTTGTATCTTTTTTGTGTAATTCCATCATCCATGATACAAATATTGGAGTCAGTCTGAACATCTTTTATGTATGCTGTTGGAAATTGTGTACTCATGTACAATGCCATCAAACGACACAACCGAAATGATAAAAACGATAAAAATTCATCTAAAAAATAAAAACATTATTTAAAAAATCAAGCAAATTTCAACTCTAACCTAAGGGTTAAAGAAATTTTACGGTTATCGAAAAAATCAAAATTACTTTCGTCATCATCATCATCATCAGCTTTAGGAATATTAGTTTCTGTAACAAATACATCAAATCATTATTCATAATATTAATAAAGGTACTCAAAAACCCTTACAATATTTACCTAATGAACGTCTCATTGTATTTTTTAAAGATGTTCCAGTAACTCTTCTCTTTTCTACAAGGGTTGTCAAATTTAGGCCTCCCAAATCTAGGAATATAATTATTAAATGACTGTGTTGAGAAAAAGTAAGAATAATAAAAAAACATTTTTTTATGCATTATCATTATTATCGCATTTATTGCATTACATTTTTAAGTATTTATGACATAACTAATTTATTGTACTACCAGTCATTGTTGTTAAAACCTAACATATGTATTTTTCTATATTTGAAAGTCCAAAGAACTTATTGCACATTAACATTGTAGTCAACTTTAGATTCTCATAATGGTTTCAAAGTTTTACACACTCTCTCTCTATCATCAACAAAAAGTTTATTTTATTAAAATTGTTGTTTGTAACAAACTAAATTAAATAAAGAAAATAAAAAAAATCTCAACTTAACAATAAGCTTTACAGATATTCATGACTATCGACAAATTACCTTTGACAACATCAGCTTCATGAATCGCAATTTATGTAACAAATACATCAAACATCAAATTATTATGCAGTCAATAAAACCAGTTTTATACATATTATATTTTATAAATAATAGTCTGTCAAAAATTATGCGAGGCAGAAAGGAAAAAGGGACCCCTTGTCGCAAAAATCAAATTCTGAGTTAATGGTTATTCAAAATCAAGCCCTCAACTCTGAACATTTTGAGATTAGAATCGTTCTCCTATGTTTAAAATTGGCCTATTTATATTTGTTTTAATTTATTTTCGGAAATTGAGTACATTCTTTAATTAGACTTAAATCAATATTTTATAAATTTTCTTTAGAACTAAAAATATGTATAAATATTAATTTATTAAATGTTTTACTTACTTGATGTGTCTCTTATTTCTGGTTGCTTCATATTAAACTGGTTAAACGAGATGTCTAAAATTAAATACAAAATATATTTTAATGTACCTACATATTTTTTTATGACTGAAACCAATATGTCATATTGATATTTGTCATTAGGAGCTTACTAGATACTAATTTTCTTTGTAGTGGAGGACACAACTATGTTGTTTATTATAAAAAAGTATTAAAATTTGTACAGTCAAAAAAAAAACAAGTAAATATGCTATTTGTATTACAATAAAGTATGTGTTAGTATTGATTACTTATTTGAATAATTATAAAAAATAATATTAGTTATGTCATTGTCATATTGGAGTGAATTATTTTTATTTAATACCTTATAAATATAAATATTAATGGTTCAAACCCCATACAATCCATATTAATATTTACCCAATGTACGTTCGATTATATTTTTTAAAGCTGGTTTAACACGACGTCTTCTCTGTTCTGCGAGGGCTGTCAAATCTAATATTTTATAATCTGCAAAAATGATTAAATGTCTGTGTTGAGAAGAGATAAGAAAAATAAAAAATATTTTAGTTGCTCGTGATACCTTACATTTGCAATACATTTTAAAGAATAGTGATGTAACTTTTTTTTTTGTACAATCAGTCAATAGTGTTAAAACTCAACAAATGTGTTTATTCTATACTTGAAATCCCAAAAAACCTATTACACATTAACATTGTAGTCAACTTAAGGTCGACAAGGGGCAAACATATTCAGGGTATATGTCTCCCTTTTGAGTTAGAGCACACACACATATATATATGTAATAATATTTTGTTTTTCTATTTAAAAACATAAATGGTTATTAAGCCTCACTCTCTTCTCTTTCTATCTCCTCAACAAAAAGTTTATTTTATTATAATTATTGTTTGGCATTACACGTTGTTATGATAATTTTACACATTATGTTATTATAACACATTATTATAATATTAATATAAAAGCAAATATAAACTTTAAAACAATAGCTTTACAGGCTAAATATGACTATAGAAAAATTGCTAATTACCATGAGATTCATTCATTAAAAAACCAAACCAGACCTGTTGTCCTGTAACAAATACATCAAATAATAATGCAGTTCATAAAACCCGGATTCAGTATTTTATACATAAAAGTCATTCTAAAACTGATATCCTTAGACCAATTAATCAATGTAAAATATTATTGTATGAATGTAAAATTATTTCCAATAGCTACGTTTAAATAAACGGTTTAAATTATATACCGAATGGTCATCTAAAGCTTAAGCATAAAACATAAATAGCTCTATGACTTTAAGCTCCCAAAATAATTATTATTGGTTTTATTTAAAGAACTACAAATACGTAACTGTGAATTTTTTAAATTTTATATTTACTTAATTTGTTTATTACTTCTATTTGCATCAGATCCTGGAAATGCATGGCTTCTAAAATGAAAAACATAATACATGTTAATGTATCCCCCCAACTTCGTTTTTTATATCAATTTTTGAAACTTAAATGGTAACACATACATTTCATTAACTTTTTTATTTGAGAATAATTTTAAACTCTTAGGGGGGTAAAAAAAAAATGTGTGAGAAATTGAGATCACGTTGAATAAAAACATTAAGAAAAAAACAATTCTATGATCAATTAAATCCAGAGAGATATTGAGTGGTTCACGATAAGTTGATCACCTTGTATTAATGTAACTAAATATTTTTTTTGTGATTGGAACCAATAGGATTACATATTGGTATTTGTCAATCGGTACATAGTATGATTATTCTCAAAGTAATTATAAATGATGAACATGCGGTAAGTATAATAAATACGAAATATAAAAATGTGGTCACTTCTTAGTGCGTTGGGGAATTTTCTACGAGGTACTGAAATTAAAACGAAAATTTAGTGTGTATAAAGAATATAAAACAACTGTGTGGAAACATGATGTGCAATGGGGGAATTCTTACCCGTTAGATGGACAACAATTTCCAATATGTCTAAAATTAACGTTACAAAAAATTAATAAAATTGCATTTAATTTGATATTCTATTATAAAGAGGAAAGCCAAGCTCAAGGTAGAAAAAAACATATGTATTAGTAGTAACTCGGAAAAATTCAATAGGAATAAAATACATAAAATAATTTCATAAAATTCAACGATAACTATTACCAGGTACTGCGATCATAACATTAATTTTGCCTGAAAATGACAATAAATAAATTATTGATATTGAATTGATTTGCTAATATAAAAAATTACATTACATAATAATAAATTAGACGAAGAAAAAGATGAAAGTAGGAAAAAAACTATCTTTATTAAATACGGAACTATCTACGGAATCTTTATGAAAATATAATTGCTGAATTGAAGCAGTTGTGACGATGAGAGTAACCAGACGAGGTTGACAGGGCCAGTACATTTTCATGAAGATTCCATACAGATTTTTGAGAAAAATTTAATATTTTTATCACTTATCAAATGCATCAAAGATATATATATGTAGAATTTTTTATATTTTTTATCTATTATTATCTGTTTTGTTATTATTATAATTATGACTACCGAATTCCGCATAATAATTGTTATTATCAACTAGTGTTTCAATTACATACTCCAATCCATCTACAATAAACAAATAAAGATTTTTACTATACTATAAGATTGAAATAATATCAAATCGGCTACTTTATAAAGGTCTAGAATAATATGAAATCATGCTTTGAGCAGTAGCCATTTAACTTAATACTACTTCCTCGATTAGGTTATTAGTAATCGCTACTTTGAATATAATAGTGTTCTGTACACTGGTTCTACATACCTGGTGCACTTTAAACTATTGATACAAAATTTTACTTATTATTTTACAAATAACTTCACAATAAAGTACATATAACGAATTATTTATACATCAGCATATGATATTTAAATATATCATACTTATTACAGACGTATCCCTTACAATTAATTAATTCACATTAACGCTAACTTGATACATAGAAAACTTTTATATATTAGCATAATTATTTTAAATATATCTTACTTATTCCAGAAATTCCGTTTACAGTTAAATCATTCATATTAAAAGCACGTTCGATGACATCATCTGTAATACATAATTTCAAAAACTTGTTTATAATCAGTGAATTTAAAAAATATGAAAAACATTTTTTATAAAACAAAAATGTTACTGACTTGTACGGCAAACTATCTGCTTATATACCGCTGTAAAAAGTAAAATATTGAACTTTTTTCCAAATTTTCAACTATCTTAAGTTGGTTTTTGAGAACTTAAAATAATTACCTTCTTCAACTGCCGAAACATTTAAGAATAAAAATGGTATTAAAAAACAGAACATTTTCATTTTTATCTGCAAATAATAATAAACATCAAAGTTATGTATATGAGTCACAGTTGCATTTGGAGCAGAGATGAGAAGGTTTTGGTGCTTTTTTTTATATGATAAATATATACATTTCTTTTTTACTAAGCCCACAGTATTTCTTAGGCTACTTATTTTCATATTCGTTAAAAAAAAAATCCTTAGAAATAAAGTTATTAGCGTTATAAAAAGTATTGAAATTTATTTTCTAGTAGTATATTTCTTGGCAATAATATACTGGGTGATTAGTTTATTAATAGTTTTTTTTATCAGACTATCACAACCTTCAATAATAGTTAATACAGAATTTAAAAAAAAACTCGCACATAAGTGCATCTTTGGCAAACATTTTTTTTTTTAAATAATTTTTATATTCCAATGATAATATTTCATATTATAAACCGGAAAACATGCTTATTTTTTCTCCATTAATATGTACTGTAAAGGGTAATAATTTATAATTTCTTAATTCAAATATTCTAATTTTTACGTTCCTTCTCGCAGTTAAGGAAAAATATCAATAATAGTCTCCCTAAGTATGGCTTTAATATTTATAGAAAGGGTCAAAATGTCAATAAAAAATATATGAATCATATTAATTACTGTAAAATTAATAATAAAATTATTAACTAATGTGTTAGTCGACTACTAAAATTGTAACGCAATAAGCATTGTTACTTGTTTATTTTAAAATAGTGTTGAGTGATATATAACTTTAACATAATGAATTATATAAACTAAAGGGTGTATTTTTATAAATTTTTTTTTTATTAATTTGTAACGTTACGAAAAATGTTGTTGTTTTTATCAAAAACGATTTTGAATGTCCATATGTGTTAAAAAATATTTCCCCTTCTACAAGTCAAAAAATCAATATTTATTAAAAATATTAAATATTCGTAGTTTCTTAACTTTTTGAGCTATGGTGGAAAATCTGTATTATTTTGCTAAATATTACTTTTTTGACGAACAATTTTTTTTGAAACTTGTTTACTTTAGGTTTTTAAACACTGAGGCACTATTTTTGTGAGGTATTATGAAGACAGCTTAAAATATTGCATTTTACACCCTTTAGTAAAAATCAAGCCTGATAATAAATAAATTAAATATTTGTTATTGAATTCTGTCCAATTCGTGGATTGTGTAAACCGCAATATTTGTAAATGTTTTGGTAAAAAATATATAAGAAAAACGTTTGCTTATAAATGTTATTAAAGGACGCCATTAAGACCCGATAAAAATAAACCTGTCAATAAAAAATACTTATTACTGTGTTTTTTTTACAATTTTGGCTCGTTAAGCTTATGTCCCTTTTAGTTTTAGCGAAATTACAATGTTTAGAGTTTGCTAGAAATGCTTACTAAAATTGTTGTGCTGATAGAATATCTTGGATAATAATCGACTTGATGTACTTTTGAAACTAAATGTCTTTCTTGCAGAAAAGCTTTTATTACGACTGAAGAATCGTAATCGAATAGGTTCATTTCAGTGTAAATATGTTCATTTGTTTGCACAGCTGGTTTATTTTTTTTCCTTTTATTATTATTTGTGGTGTATACAAATTACTTCGACCGAGGTATACTATTAAACGAAAGAGTACTTTTATTTTTTGAAAATGCCATCATGGTTTTACAAAAAATATTTCAGCGGCTACAGATATTGAAATTTAAAATGACTACCTATACTGAAATACTAAAATTTGAATGATGCATAATAAATAATTAAATGTGACCAATCATATTCAACAAAAGCAATAATGGTTAACAAAATACCTAATGATAATTATATTTAATCTAAAACGATAGCCCTACCTTTGATTTATTAAACCATCCCGAATTAATTGATTTGGTGGTTTATCAGATTGATTAAGATCACATAAATATATAAAATTGTAATTTAAATCAATCTTAGCAAGTTTACTATTTAGCTTCCGTGGTTATTTCACCCTTAACAATATCATTATATTCTAAAAATTGTGAGAAATAAAAAATTGTATGTTGTTCTATATTTTATAGTACACTAACAAAGCTTAAATGCTTTGTTTTTGGGTCTTTAAATTAGCCTTAAGGTAATTCGTCAAAGGGACTAAAACATGTACGGTTTTTTTCAAATATATTCAGCCAACCAACCATTTGGATATTGTTGTTGGTTTGCTTAGAATATTTTTTTTTTTTTTTTTTAATGTTTCAACATAATCTTGTTTTTACAATAGCTTAGAATATTAAAACTGTATAAAAAACCTCTGATGAAAAAATTAAATAGTTAAGTTATTAGTATTTAATATTAAATTTATTACTTTATTTGCATTATAACTTACACAAAATTTGCTTTATAATATGTATACGTTCTAATAAAAGAAATTACTCCTATTTTCACAACAAGCTTAGCCTACAGAGACAAACATTATATATTGTTTATGTTATATTTTGCATAGTATAATTTTTTAATATTTTTATACATATATTTTTAAATTAAAATACATCTATCTATCTATCAATATGATCTACCACAATTGTTTCAATATTAATTATACAAATACAGTTTTAAACATAATAACGCTTTAACAATAATTTTGTTTTTTAATTACTAACTCATTTAATTCGTATAGCGTTTTAATTTTAATGTAAAACACAAAAAAAAAATCATGTTGGGGTCGTTTTTTCACAATATTTTGATTGTTAACTTATTTAAATTATATAAGAACAATTATATAGAACATTATACAATTGCCAATAGACCAGTAAAACGATCAATAGATTATTCCAAACATAACAGAATAAAATATGAGATAAATGAAATAGGAAACAAGTGATGAGATTTATTTTTAAGATGTAGGTATAGTTTGATTTTGTTTGTTGAAAATAATTTATGATAACGAAAAGATTATAATATAAATTAAGATGGGTTGTACCATTAATTCTTGGTCGAAATTATATCAACTGCTCCTGAAGTAGTTGTGCTCTACGGTCATCTAAGTCCATTTCCCACCATACGCCATTAATTTGTTTGTATCTTTTTTGTGTGATTCCATCATCCATAATACAATTCCTATTGGTGTCAATCAGAACATTTTTTATGTAGGATGTTGGTGATTGTGCACTCATGTACAATCCCATCAAACGACATATCCGCCATAAAGATTTAACTAAAAATATAAAAACATTATTCTTGAACTTGATAATAATAGTTGAAATAAAATTAAACAAATTTCAACTCCAATATAAGGTTTAAAAACTATTTACAACTACCGATAAATCGGAAAAATCACAATTACTTTCGTCATCATCAACTTCAGAAATATTAGTTCCTATAGGAAATACATACAAGAAATCATTATGCATATATTATATGAGGTACTCAATAAACCTTACAACTCCATATTAATATTTACCTAATGCACGTCCCGTTATATTTTTTAAAGATGTTCCAGTAACTCTTCTATTGTCTACAAGGGTTGTCAAATTTAAGCGTCCACAGTCTACAAAAACAATTATTAAATGACTATACAATAACCTTGTATTAAACTTTAGGTTCTCATAATGGTTTCAAAGTCTTACACTCTCTCTTTTATCAACAAAAAGTTTATTTTATTAAAAATTTTGTTTGAAATAAACAAAATTAAATAAAAAAATGAAGCAAATTTCACCTTTACAATAAGCTTTACACACTATTTATGACTATTGAAAAATTACTTTTGACAACATCAGCTTCATGAATCGCAATTTATGTAACAAAAACATCAAACACCAAATTATTATGCAGTCAATGAAATCAGTTTAATACATATTATATTTGATAAATAACAGTCATTTAAAACTTAAATTAATTGTATAATTGTCAACTTATTTCTAATAGCAATTTTTGAATAAACGGTTTACATAATATTTTGAACTTTCATAAAAAGATTCAGCATAATAAATATGCGAGGCGAAAGGGAAAAGGGAACTCTTGTCGCATAAATCAAATTCTGAGTTAATGGTTATTCAAAATCAAATCCCAAACTCTGAACATTTTGAGATTAGAATCTTTCTCCTAAGTTTAAAATTGACATTTGTTTTAATTTGGTGGTTACTAAAATAAAATACAAAATATATTTTCGTGTAACTACATACTTATATTATTGAAACCAATATGTCAATTTGGAATTTGTCAATATGTTAATAGTTACTACTTTTCTTTATGGTGTAAGAGACAAATATCCTTTTTTTTAAAATAAATTCATAACAAAATAATAGAGTATGCATGATGTCCATATTGTACAGCTATGCTAATTGTATTAAAATAAAGTATGTGTGTTAGTAGTGATCGCGTTTTTGGATAATAGTTGAAAATTAAAATTAGTTGTATTCTTGTTATATTGGGGTAAACTAGTTCTGTTAAATACTTTATAAATATATTAGTAGTTCAAAACACATAGAACTCCATATTCATATTTACCTAATGTACGTATAATTATATTTTTTAAAGCTTGTTTAACACGACGTCTTCTCGATTCTGCAAGGGGTGTAAAATGTATAGATCTAGAATCTGCGAAAATTATGAAATGACTGTGTTGAGAAGAAATAATAATAATAAAAAAAAAATTTGATTTGCTTGTATACATGTATGCATGTATTCATTCTGTATGATATCTCCAATAATTTATTACACATTAACATTTTAGACAAGTTGTTGAGGACTAAAAAAAAGTATTGTTGTTAATTTATTGTGTTTAATATATGTAATATAAATTTGTTTATATTGCGCATTGGTCACTTATCTACATTTGGAACAATTAACAGAGTAAGTTAAATGAAGCAAATATTAACTCCAAAACAAGCTTTACAGGCTTTTTACGATTATAGAAAATTTCGTTGTTACCTTGGGCTTCAGGAATAGGAATCCTGACATTGAGTAATCCTGGAAGAAATACATCAAGCGTCAAACTATTATGCAGTTAATAAAAACAGGTTTATGTATTTGAAATACAACAGTCATTCTAAAAATGAGATAACTTAGACCAATTATAAATTAATGCAAAATATTATTGTACAAATGGAAAATTATTTCCATTATCATTAGCTTTTAAACTAGTTTTTATTTAAATAACTACAAATACATAACTATACATTTTTTAAATTTTATATTACTTAATTTATTTATTATTTGCATTTTCAACACATATTGGAAATGTATAGCTTCTAAAATGTAAAACAAAATGTATATTAATGTATCGACGAATGTGTTTTAATTGAAAAGAATACGATTACATAATGGTATTTGTCAATAGGTAAATATAATTATTCTCAAAGTAGTTATACATAAAGAATATGAGTTAAGTGTAATAAATATAAAATTTAATAATGTAGTTACTTTCTATTTCGGAACGGAAGATTGGTGCTGAAATTTAAACAAAAATGTTGTGTGTATAAAGAATATCAAACAACTGGGTGGAAACATAATGTGCAATCGAAAGTCTTACCTAATATACAGGCGACCATTTCTATATTATCTAAAAAAAACATTACAACAACTTAATGATATTGCAAATAATTTCATACTTTATTATAAACAGGAAAACAAAGCTTATGGTAAAAAAAACATGTATATTATTAGTAACTCGGAAGAAATATGTTCCACTGAAAATTAAATACAATGGGAATCTCTTTGGAAAATTCAATATGAATGAAATATTGGAAATATTTTCATGAAGCACTACGAAAACTATTACTTGGTAGAGCGATCATAAAATTGATTTTGCCTGAAATTGACAATAAATAAATTAATATATTGGATTGATTGACTAATATAAATTATATCATTACATAAAAATAAATTAGAAGATGAAAAATATCAAAGTAGACAAAGACTGTCTTTAAAAAAAGACCAAGGAACCTTTATGAAAATATAATTGCTGAATTGAAGCAGTTGTGGCGAAGAGAGTAACCAGACGAGGTTGACAGGGCCAGTACATTTTCATGAAGATTCCATACAGATTTTTGAGAAAAATTTAATATTTTTATCACTTATCAAATGCAACGAAGGTAAATATATGTAGAATTTTTTATATTTTTTATCTATCTTTATCTGTTTTATTATTGTTATAATTCTGATTACCGAAATTCCCATTATAATCTTTATCATCAACTATTGCTTCAATTACATACTCCAATCCATCTACAATAAACAAATAAAGATTTTGACTATACTATAAGATTGAAATAATATCAAATTAGCTACTTTATAAAGCTCTAGAATAATATGAAATCATGCTTTGAGCAGTAGCCATTTAACTTAATACTACTTCCTCGATTAGGTTATTAGTAATCGCTACTTTAAATATAATATAGTTCTGTACACTGGTTCTACATACCTGGTGCACTTTAAACTATTGATACAAAATTTTACTTATTATTTTACAAATAACTTCACAATAAAGTACATATAACGAATTATTTATACATCAGCATATGATATTTAAATATATCATACTTATTACAGACGTATCCCTTACAATTAATTAATTCACATTAACGCTAACTTGATACATAGAAAACTTTTATATATTAGCATAATTATTTTAAATATATCTTACTTATTCCAGAAATTCCGTTTACAGTTAAATCATTAATATGATAAGCACGCTCGATGACTTCATCTAAAATACATAATTTCAAAAATATGTATAAAATCAGTGAATTTTAAAAACTTAAAAAAATCATAGTTTTTTTATAATTCAACAATACTACTGACTTGTACGGCGAACCATATCCGTATATAGCACTGTAAAAAAATGAAATATTGAATTTGTTTTCAAATTTGTAATATCCTTATATTGGTACTTGTGAAAATAAAATAATTACTTCGATCATCTGCCGAAACATTTACGAAAACGAATAATATTACAACACAGAAAAGTTTCATTTTTATCTGCAAACAATAATAAACATAAAAACAATTTATACAAATACATATATATACATTATTTTTTACTAGTCCCAAATTCCTAGACCGCTAAATTAATACTTTTTTTGTATAGCAAGGTATACGTACAAAAGTTAAGTTTTTAATTAAAATTTAACCCATGGAGGAAATTCTGTATCATTTTGCTTAATAATCCTTTTTTTTTACTTTAGGTTTGTTGACTCTAAAACCCTACATTTTTGGGGTGTTATGAAAACGGTTTAATAATTTTTAGTCATTAAGGTCATGCCTTTCTAATTTTAGTGAAATTACAATTTTTAGAGTTTGCCATAAATACTTACTAAAATTGTTGAGCTGATAAACTTTCTTAGAAAATAGTCGTCTTGATGTTCTTTTGATACTAAATGTTTTTCTTGCACATTATAAATGAGCTTATATTTCTACCAAAGAATCAGAATCGAATAGGTTTTTGCAGTTAACTTAGTTCATTTATGTACTCAGTTGGTTTACTTTTTTTTTTATTACGATTTATGGTGTACATAACTATATTTATAATATTTTCTCATTTATGCCTGTTGAATAAAACAAATGCGGATCTACACATATATTTCAATTTTTTATCATGATGAAATAATGAAAAAACAAAATTCAAATACGAACGCCTTAAAACACCGTCAATATGCAGTTTTTTTTTTATCGATACCAACATTTCTTAAAAACTAATATTTTATTTTAATTTAAATAAGCCATCGTCAAATCATCAAAGTATGGTGAGAACGCAGTGGGAATAGAGCATATAAAAGATGTACATATTTTTTAACTTTAAACTACGGCGCTCCGTAACTTAAATTAAAAAATAGTCGAATTAGTTCCAAATTTCTATGGAATAGTCTTTAGACATAGTACTACCCATAAACGTTGACAAACCAAAAATATATTATCAACAATTCTTTCCTAAGGAAGGGGTGGAATCTTTTTCTTAGTTTCGGTTCTTTAGATGAAGTCTTATGGTTAATCTGACCGAAGGTTGCTTTGTGTGAGTGAAAGTCAATTTCCAAATTCTTCGTGTAGCTTATCTATAGGTTACACAGCGCAATATTTTTATATTATTATTGTTTTACTCTATTTTGGTGTGAAGGCCAATAAGTGCGGGACTAGTTGGATTAATAACTGGGCGACCTATCCTTTAAATTATATTATACATACAAACGGCGTCTAAGCTTTTTTCACATAAGAGTTAGGAGTTATAGACAATTTGATATTGTTGTTGCATAATTTGATATTGTCGTACTTGTTCGTAAGTACTTACTTTTTTTTAGTTAATTGATTTGGTGGCTTACCAGATTGATAAGGATCACATAAATATATAAAATTTTTATTTTAATCAATCTCAGCAAGTTTACTATTGTAGCTTCTGTGGTTATATAACCCTTTACAACATCATAACATTCTAAAAATTGTGAATAATAACCATTTTATGTTGTTATATATTTTACAGTACACTAACACAGCTTAAATGTATTGTCTTTAAATTAGACTTAAGGTAATTCGTCAGTGGGATTAAAACATGTACGGTTTTCTCAAACATCTTTAGCTAACTAACCATATAGATATTGTTTTTAGTTTGCTTACAAGCTTTAAATTGTATAAAAAAATATTTGATTGTATAATATTGTAATATTTTTATGTATATCTTTTAAAATATAAACAAATCTATCTATCTAACCAAGATCAACCTTAATTGTTTCAACATTAATTATAAAAATGTAATTTTAAACAATAATACTTAACAATAATTTGTTTTTATACTTTTAACTTTTTAAATTCGTACAGCGTTTTAATATTTAAACACAAAAAAACAATATTTTTGAGGTCGCTTTTTCACAATAATTTGCTTGTTAACTTGTTTACTTTTTTTAAACACATTACACATTTGCCAATAAAACAGTAAAATAACAATAGATTATTCCAAACATAACAGAATTATATGAAGATACATGAAATAGGATATGATATAGGTTATGATTTATTTTTTAAATGTAGGTACAGCTTGATTTTGTTTGTTGAAGATAATAATAAGAGTATAATAAAAATTCAAATGAGTTAAACCATTGATTCCCGGTCAAAATTATATTATTAATTCCTCAAGTAGTTGTATTCTACGGTTATCTTTGTCTATTTGCCACCATATGCCTTTAAATTGTTTGTATCTTTGTTGTGTAATTCCATCGTACATGATACAAATAGTGGAATCAATTCGAAGATGATTTATGTATGATGTTGGATTTTGTGTACTCATGTACAATCCTAACGAACGACACAATCGAAATAATAAAGATTCATCTAAAAAATAAAATAATTTTCTTTTTAATCTGCTAAAATTTGCTTACTAGGTATTAATTTGTAACATTCTAGTTGAAATAAAATTAAACAAATTTCAACTCTAATACAAGCTTTAAAGTCTATTTACAACTACCGATAAATTAGTAATTACTTGGTTCATCATCAACTTCAGGATTACTAGTTCCTATAAGAAATACATCAAATCATTATGCATATTTATAAGTGGTACTCAAAAACCTTTACAACACCATATCAATATTTACCTAATGCACGCCGCATTTTATTTTTTAAAGATGTTCCAGAAACTCTTGTCTCTTTTATAAGGGTTGTCAAATTTAAGCGTCCCAAATCTACGAAACAAATTATTAAATGGCTGTGTTGAGAAAAATAAAACATATTTCTTTTATGCGTTATTGTTTTTTTACAATTATTAAAAACGTTGTTTGAAATAAAACATAAACTAAAAAAAATGAAACAAATCTCAAATTTAAAACAAGTTTTACAAGATATGACTATCGAAAAATTACCTTTGACAACATCAGCTTCATGAATCGCAATTTATGTAACAAATTCATCAAACATCAAATCATTATGCAGTCAATAAACCAGTTTTATACATATTATATTTTATAAATAACAGTCATTTAAAAATTAAATTAATTGTATGTTTGTCAACTTATTTCTAATAGCATTTTTTGAATAAACGGTTTATATAATATTTTGAACTTTCATAAAAATATTAAGCATAATAAATACGCGAGGCGAAAGGGAAAAGGGAGCTCTTGTCGCAAAAATCAAATTCTGTATTAATGGTTATTCAAAATCAAGCCCTAAACTTTGAACATTTTGAGATTAGAATTGTTCTCCTATATTGAAAAATTGTGCGAGTTATATTTGTTTGAATTTATTTTCGGAAAACGAGTACATACCTTAATTAGACTTAAATCGTTAGTTTAAAATTTTTCTTTAGAATTACAAATATATATAATTATTAATTTATTAAATGTTTTACTTACTTGATGTGTCTCTTATTTCTGGTTGCTTCATATTAAACTGGTTAAACATGGTTACTGAAATTAAATACAAAGTATATTTTCACGTACCTACATGTTTATCTTATTGAAACCAATATGTCAAATTGGTATTTGTCAAAATGAGCCTAATGAATGTTTGTCACTCATTATCATTATACATATATATTATTTATTGTCTTGTGTCTATATAGTTTCATTAAAAAAGTGGAATATTTATGTTTTTTTTGTGCATAACATTTGGTTATATGTATGCATGTATATGTATTAAATACAAATTTTAATTTAAAAAAAAAAAAAAAAAATAGTTACTACTATTCTCTATTGTGCAAGACGCAAATATCCTATTTGTTAAAATTAATTCATAACAAAATAATAAAGTATTCATGATGTACATATTGTACAGCCATGCTAATTGTATTACAATAAAGTATGTGATAGTAGTCATCACTTATTTGGATAATTGTTGAAAATTAAAATTAGCTGTATTCTTGTTATATTGGTGTGAATTATTTCTGTTAAATACCTTATAAAAATAAATATTTGTATAAACATATAAATGGTTCAAAACACATATAACTCTATATTCATACTTACTTAATGTACGTTTGATTATATTTTTAAGAGCTGGTTTAACAAGACGTCTTCTCGGTTCTGCAAGGGTGCTCAAATGTGTGGGTACGTATATGAAAACTGGGAAATTTATTAAATGCTTGTGATACAAAACATTCATTAGTGTTCAAGCTGAACAAATGTATTCTTTCTAGACATAATATCTCCAAGAATTTATTGCACATTAACATTTTAGACATAGATATATATATATTGTTTTTATTACAAGTAATTACAATTTATTTCTATTGCGAATTGGTCAAAATTCAGTAAAAAACATAACTTATTATATAACAACGTTCAAAATGTATTGTAAATGGTTACAAAGCCTTACTATTTCTCTCTTCTCTTCTCTTCTCAACACAAAGTATATTTTATAAAAATAATTGTTTGACATAAAACATTTTGAATAAATAAAATGGAGCAAATATTAACTCCAAAACAAGTTTATTTACGACTATAGAAAATTTCGTTATTACCTCGGTCTTCATCACCTTCCGGAAGAGGAATACTAATATTAAGCAATTCTGTAACAAATACATCAAGCGTCAAGCTATTATGCATTTAATTAATCTAGGTTTATGTATTTTATATACAACAGTGATTCTAAAACTGAGATTAGTTAGACCAATTAAAATTAATGCAAAATATTTTTGTATAAATGGAAAATTTAATGAAGAATTTTCAATTACTGCACTTAAACGGTTTAAATTATATTTCGAATGATCATCAAAAGCTTAATAACAAACCATAAAAAGGTTTTGTTTGTAAGCTTTTAAACTATGTTTACTGGTTCCCCTAAAGATCTACAAATACATAACTATACATTTTAAAATTTTTATTACTTAATGTATTTATTATTTCCATTTGCATTATATACTGGAGATTTTCAGCTTCTAAAATGTAAAACAAAATATATATTAATGTACCGACTCATGTTTTATGATTGAAAACAATAGGATTACATATTTTTGGTATTTGTCATTAAGTAAATATGATTATTCTCAAAGTAATTATAAATAAAGAATATGAGTTAAGTATAATAAATATAAAATTTAATGATGTGGTTACTTTCTATTTCGGTATCGAAGAATAAAGGTTCTAAAATTAAAACAAAAATGTTGTGTGTATAAAGAATATCAAACAACTGTGTGGAAACATAATGTGCAATCGAAATTCTTACCTCTTATATAGGCGACCATTTCTATATTATCTAAAAAAAACATTACAACAACTTAATGATATTGCAAATAATTTTATACTTTATTATAAACAGGAAAACAAAGCTTATGGTAAAAAAAACATGTATATTATTAGTAACTCGGAAGAAATATGTTCCATTGAAAATTAAATACAATGGGAATCTCTTTGGAAAATTCAATATGAATGAAATATTGGAAATATTTTCATGAAGCCCGACGAAAACTATTACCTGGTAGAGCGATCATAAAATTGATTTTGCCTGAAATTGACAATAAATAAATAAATATATTGGATTGATTTGCTAATATAAAATATAACACGAAATACGGAATCTTTTTAAAAATGTAATTGCTAAATTAAAGCAGTTGTGACGTCGGGAATAGCCAGACGAGGTTGACAGAGCTAATAGCAGTAAATTTTCATAAAGGTTTTATACACATTCTGGAGAAACGTTTAATATTTTTATAATCTAACAATTGCATTAAAGATAAATGTGAGTTGACATTTTTTAATTTTTTTTTCTATTATTTGTTTTATTGTTAATATAATTGTGACTACCGAATTCCACATAATAATTGTTATTATCAACCATTGTTTCAATTACATACTCCAATCCATCTACAAAAAACAAATAAAGATTTTGACTATACTAAAATATTAAAATAATATCAAATTAGATACTGTATAAAGCTCTAGAATAATATTTAACCATACTTCAAGCAGTAGCCTACTACCTTGATTAGCTTAAGTAATCGCTCCTGTAAATACCTATAGTAGTGTTCTGTACACTGGTTTTACAAAGACTTGTACACGGGTTTCACTATTGATAGAAACTATACTTATTATTTTAAAAATAACGTCTCAATAAAATATAGATACATAACGAAATTTTATACAAAAGAAAACAATACTTAAATATTTATCATACTTGTTACAAAATTATCTCCTACACTTAAAGCATTTACATTAACGCTAAATTGACACATAAAATTTTTATATATTAGCATTATTCTTTTAAGTATATCTTACTTATTCCAGAAATTCCTTCAACTGTTAAATCATTAATATGAGAAGCACGCTCTATGACTTCATCTAAAATACATAATTTCAATAATATGTTTAAAAACAGTGATTTTTAAAAAATTTTAAAAAAATGTTTTATAAAACAAAAATTATACTGACTTGTACGGCAAAGAATTTCCATATATCGCACTGTAAAAAGTGAAATATTGAATTTGTTTCCTAATTTTGTAATATCCTTATGTTAGTAATTGTGAAAATATAATAATTACTTCGATCATCTGCCGAAACATTTACGAAAACGAATAATATTAAAAAACAGAAAAGTTTCATTTTTATCTGCGAACAATAATAATAATAATATAATAATAATAATAATAATATATATTTAACGCCCCGAAGGCAAGAGTGTAACATTCAAGTAAGTAGATCACAGATTAATAATTATAAATTATAAACAGTATCAATAAAGAAAAACATATTTATAACAACGATAACAAACAAAATATATAAATATGACAAAAATTAGACGATTAAGTATAAACGAGCCTAAATCAGTTGTGGGTAATAGCTAATTTGAATTCAAGAAGGGAGTCATGAAAGACATTAAATGAGGGAGGTAAGTTATTAAAGGCAATACAAATGCGGTTAATAGGGGAGAAAAAACTATAATTTTGGCGGTGGAAACTAACATGAAAAGTTGGACGTAGGCGAGAGCTGTAGGAAGGAATATGGAATTACAATTTACTTAGGAGTTCAGGACTATCGATAACATTATTAAGCAACTTGTGTATAAAAATTAAATCATTTATCTTACGTCTATATGCGAGCATATCGAGATTTAATAAATGCAGAACTGAATTTCTATGTTCAGTTTGCATATTGAATTTAAAGCTTACTGTTCGCAAAAAACAGTCTTGGACACGTTCTAAGTCATTAGTAAGTCCGCTTTGGACTGGATTCCACAATATGGAGGCATATTCTAAAATTGTACGAACTAAACAAATATACAGGGTTCTAATGCACATTAAATTTGAAAAATTATAACAATTTCTCCTAATGAAACCTAATGTTAATGCTTTTAGTTTTATATTTTGAATATGCTGATGAAATGATAAATCATAGGAAAAATAAACACCAAGGTCTTTCAGCTGTTTAACATTTTGTAAAACTCGAATAATAAACATTAAAACAATTTATACATATATACATTTTTTTGACTAGTCCCAAATCAATTCCTAGACAGCTAAATTATTACGGGTTTTGTATGGCAAGGTATACAAAGGTCAAGTTTTGAATAAAAATTTAACCCATGCAGAAAAATCTGTACCATTTTGCTTAATATTGCTATATTTTTACTTTATGTTTGTTTACACCAAGACCCTACTTTTGTGTGGTGTTATGCAAACGGTTTAAGCGATTTTTACTAATTAAGCTCATTTCTTTTTAATTTTAGTGAAATTACAATTTTTAGAGTTTGCCAGAAATACTTACTAAAATTGTTGAACTAATAGAATTTCTTAGAAAATAATCGTCTTGATGTTCTTTTGAAACTAAACGTTTTTTTGCACTTTGTGGATGAGCTTATATTTCGAACAGAGAATCAGAATCGAATAGGTTTTTGCAGTTAAACTATGTTCATTTATGTACTCAGTTGGTTTACTTTTTTTTTATTATGATTTATAGTGTACATACAATACTTGCGGTGTTAATTTCATGCAAAATATTAAAAAGAACAAATCAGATTGTGAAGTTCAAAATACCGTGTTTTTCTTTACCCGAGTTTAGAATTGAATATAAATCCGCAATTATGATATAATAGTAATTATAGTACCATTTCGTTATAATATATTTGCTCATCCGGTATGAGATAGATCAAAGATACTTTATTGAGCCAAAAATTTAAAAAGTTTATCCCTTTCCCTTTAAATTCGAAATAAAAAATATAATGTTTTCTACATTTCTTTGTCAAAGTCATTTGTTTATTTTTACATTCTGTACCTTTAAACGTATGTAAGTGAAATAATTTACAATATTTGCTCATTTCTGCCTGTTGAAGACAACACATGCGGATCTACACCTATATTGCAAATTTTTATCTTGATGAAATAATGAAAAAAAAAATTTTTATCTTGATATCAACATTTCTTAAAAACATCTGTTCGACCTATCCTTGAAATGTATTTTAAATACAAGCGGTCTCTACGCTTTTCCACTCCAAAACTCCATAATAGGTGTTGATCGTTGTAAAAATATACACTATTTTAAAATGCTATATTTTGAAATTTTTGCAAAAATGGCTACTTTCTTGGAAAATTATGATATTGTTACTTGTTTATAATTGCTTACTGTGATTTATGTTGAAATTTAATATATTTTTGTGTACTGTACATATCAAGCGTCTCACAATCTATAACGTTTTTTAATATAACAACTTAAATTAAAAATAGTTATAAGAAAAGACATCGTATTCAGTACTTACAAATAATAAATGAACACATATAAAGTATATAAAACATTTAAAAAAAATGATAGACTTCTAAACGGTCTTTATTAAAACCGAATATCTTACAAAAACATTTAATATTACTAAAATTTACATATTTTGTAATTAAAAACTATTTATGTCTTGTTTAAAATTTGCATTAAAGGGAAATATTTGTTTATAAAACACCAATCATTAATAAAAGTTATAGTATTAAACAAATTTACTTGTTTTTTTCTTTATAGTGCCCTAACACAGCTTAAATGGAATGTGACAATGTATGTTATGTTGCCTAATAATAATTATATTGGAATTACATTTTAGCAATATTTTTGTTGTTAACTTATTTACTATTTTTAGAACATTATTCATTTGCCAATGGACCAGTAAAATGTTTAATAGATTATTCCAAACATAACAGAGTAAAATATGAGATACCTGAAATAGGACACAAGTGTTATGATTTATTTTTAAAATGTAGGTACAGTTTTGTTTGTGGAAAATAATGGAATACAAGCTTTAAAGTCTATTAACAACTACCGATAAATTAGTAATTACTTGGGTCATCATCAACTTCAGGATTATTAGTTCCTGTAACAAATACATCAAATCATTATGCATATTATTACAGATACTAAAAAATCTTTACAATACCATAATAATATTTACTTAATGTACGTCTCATTTAAAGATGTTCCAGTAACTCTTTTCTCTTCTACAAGGGTTGTCAAATTTAAGCGTCCCAAATCTACGAAACAAATTATTAAATGACTGTGTTGAGAAAAATAAAACATATTTCTTTTATGCGTTATCCTTTTTTTCACAATTATTAAAAATGTTGTTTGAAATAAAACATTAACTAAATAAAATGAAACAAATCTCAAATTTAAAACAAGTTTTAGAGGATATTTATGACTATCGAAAAATTACCTTTGACAACATCAGCTTCATGAATCGCAATTTATGTAACAAATACATCAAATCATTATGCAGTCAATAAAACCAGTTTTATACATATTAAATTTCATAAATAACAGTAATTTAAAACTTTTCTTTAGAAGTACAAATATGTATAAATATTAATTTATTAAATGTTTTATTTACTTGTTTTGTCTCTTATTTCTGGTTGCTTCATAAACTGGTTAAACATAGTTACTGAAATTAAATACAAAATATGTTTTCGTGTAACTACATACTTATATTATTGAAACCAATATGTGAAATTGGTAGTTTTCAATAGGAGCTAACTAGTTATCTAGTCTTTATGGCACAGGACATAAATATCTTATTTATTAAAATAAATTCATAACAAAATAATAAAATATGCATGGTGGCCTTATTGTGCAACCATGCTGATTGTACTACAATAAAGTATGTGTTAGTAATCACTTATTTTGATAATTGTTGAAAATTAAAATTAGTTGTAATCTTGTTATATTAGGTTGAATTATTTCTGTACGATATCTTATAAAAATATTAATGGTTCAAAACACATATAACTCCATATTCATATATACCTAATGTACGTCTGATTATATTTTTTAGAGCTGGTTTAACAAGAAAACTTCTCGGTTCTGCAAGAGCTGTCAAATCTAAGTTTCTAGAATCTGAATCATCTAAAAAAAATTAAATATGAATATATATATATATGTGTAATTACAGTTTATTTCTATTGTGAATTGGTCAAAATTCAGTAATAAACATAACTTTTAACAACGTTTAAAATCCATCATAAATGGTTACAAAACCTTACTCTTGTTCTCTTCTCTTTTCTTCTCTTCTAAACACAAAGTTTATTTTATTAAAAGTTTTGTTCGACTGGAAATGGATAGCTTCTAAAATGTAAAACAAAATATATTATAATAATGTACCCTCCCACATTTTTAATAGCAACTTTTGAAACTTATTTGGTAATGCATATATTTCATTAACTATTTTTGAAGTTTTTAAAGTTTCAAGTTCAGGGTAGGAGGAAAGGTGGAATGTAGTATTATTTTTATCTGAGCACATTTCCCAATCGCACTTTCCCTCCCATCTTAACTTTATACTCTTATAACATTAAAAAAAAATTATCCAAAACTAGTAATTGACCAGTCAACATTTTTAGTACATGTTTCTTAATTAACAAAGTTAAAAAAATGTATGCGTTACCATTTAAGTTTCAAAAAATGTTATCAAAAAAACGAAGCTGGAAGGGAGGTAAAAACAAAACAAAATGTGAGAATTGGAGATCACAATGTATAAAAATCCAATTCAATGATTAATTAAACCCAATAAGATATTGTATGTGTCACATTAAGTTGATCACCCTGTATTCATGGAACATCATATTACTAATTACTTTTTAGATGATGAAAATGCGTAAATATATATTATAAATATAAAAAATAAAAATTTGGTTACTTCTTATTTCGGTAGGAAAGGTTCTAAGAGTTGCTGAAATTAAAACAAACATTTTGTGTATATAAAGAATATCAAGCACTTGTGTGGAAACATGACGTGCAATCAAAATTCGCACCTGTTATATAGACGACAATTTCTGTTTTATCTAAAATTAACATAACAAAAAATTAATGATATTGCAATTAATTTTATATTTTATTATAAACAGGAAAACAAAGCTCTATGCAGAAAAAAACATATGTATTAGTATAACCTCTGAAAAAATATGCTCCTCTGAAAATTAAATACATTGGAAATCTCTTTGGAAAATTCAATAAGAATGAAATATTGGAAATATTTTCATAAAACCCAACGAAAACGATTACCTGGTCGAGCGATCATAAAATTAATTTTGCCTGAAATTGACAATAAATAAATTATTGATATTAGATTGATTTTCTATTATAAATTATTACATTATGTCATAATAAATTAGAAGAAAAGAAAACAAAGTAGATAAAAATCTTTCTTTAATAAATAGACTACGGAATATTTATGAAAATATAATTGATGAATTGAAGCAATTATGGCGATTGTAATAACCAGACGAGGTTGAAAGGGCCAGTAATTTTTCACAATGATTCCATACATATTTTTGAGGAAAATTCAATATTTATCACTTGTCAATTGTATTAAAATAAATTTGAGTTGACATTTTTATATTTTCATCAGTTTATTATTGTTATAATTATGACTACCGAATTCCGCATAATAACTGTCATCGTCAACTATTGTTTCAGTTACATACTCCAATGCATCTAGAATAAACAAATAATGATTTGGGCTATACAAAAATATTAAAGCAATGTCAAATTAGGTACTGTATAAAGGTCTAGAATTATATTAAACCATGCGTCTGTTCGTTTCTCACATCTGGTACACCGTGTTTGTAGTTAAAAAAAAAAATTTGATTAATATTTTTTTAAAGATTTTAGGTGTTTTTGTTAAAATATACGCAATCTGCGAAAACACAGTTTTCCGGCAGTTAAAAAAAAAACTGTAGTGCCGAATTTGTTTTCCGTTTAATATGTTATAAATACTTATGAGTTCTAACTACTGACAAGTTTTCAACTTACATGTCTTAAAGTTGCGGCTAAAAAACTAAAAAAAACTTGAACCTCCCTCCTAAGGGGGAGGGGAAATGAGTTTAATTTAAATTTGATACAACTGACGTGTGTGGGCATACCAAATAAACATTCCTTAAAAAGTACAATTCGATCCGACTCTTTTTCTCGAAACTATAGCCAGTAAAAGTTCTAACTTAAAAAATCGTACGGTTTTTTTGGTTTTTCCAAATTTCGTCTGTGAAGAAGTAAACTTTTTCAACTTTTATCCCCCCTAAGTACGAACTAGATAAAATTTGTGATTTATAGAGTTGCTATTCGAAGGAATTGGTCCCGTATTAAAAAAGTTACAGTGTATACAGATAAAAAAAAAAGCCCACATCAAACTAAAACCAATACCTTCTCACTCTGCATCAGCGATAAAATTATTTTTCTATTCAGATATCAATTATGTACTTTTTTCTTTAATCTTTATTTTGTGAAATAATATTGCATGCTACATATTTTATTTGTAAACATAAAATATTATACTTTAAGTTTTTTATTAGATGTTAAACTAATAAATGTTGTGTTTTGGGCTAACGCCCGTATTGTAAAATAAAATTTAAAAAAATGTAAATATATTTTTGCTGGATTTTTTTGTAATTATTAACCATTTATGTTTTAATTTATTTTTGCATTAAAGGGACATATTTGTTTAAAAAACACTTATCATTTGTTGAAAAAAATTATAGTAACTCACAAATTTACATGTTTTATATTTTATGGTTAGAAATATTTATCTTTTTAACTGGAAAAAAGTTACACATACAGCTGAGGTACAACGTATGTTATGTTGCCTATTTATTTTTAAAGGCGCTTAAGCATTTGTGGCCTTTTGACAGTTGCTTATTATTTGTTATGCTCGTCGTCATTTTAAAATTGAATATATTATCGTTCGAGATGAATTAACACTTATTTTGTTGGTATAATAAGAATAATATTGGTATCACGTTTAGCAATATTTTGCTTGCTTTATTGCGCCTGTTGAATATCTTTATTTAGATCATTATACATTTTTTAATCGATCAGTAAAAAGTTCAACAGCTTATACAAATCATAATAGAATAAAATATGTTTTTTAATGTAGGTAAAGATTATTATTGTTTGCTGATAATGTTTGTACATTCAATTAATTGTCAGTTATGAGTGAAATATGAAAAAGAATATTAGCGCAACATTAAAATATTATTACAATAAAATAACAGTGGTATTATACAGTTTTTAAAGAATTTTAGGATGGAAAAATTATATTAACTGCTCCTCAAAAAGTTGTGCTCTACGGTTGTCTAAGCCTATTTGCCACAATACTCCATTAATTTGTTGGTATCTTTGTTGTGTAATTCCATCATACAAGGTACACATATTGGATTCAACGTGAATATTTTTTATGTATGATGTTGGTAATCGTGTACTCATGTATATTCCAATCATACAACATATCCGCCATAAAGTTTTATCTAAAAATATAAAAACATTATTCTTGAATTTGATAAATTTAGCTAACTAGTTACTACTTTGTAATACATTAGGATAAATAAAATTAAGCAAATTTCAACTTTGGTATAAGGTTTTATCAAAGGCTATTTTTGACTTTCGGAAAAATCGGAATTACTTTGGTCATAATCAGAGATATTAAGTCCAATAATAAAAACTTTAAATGCTTAAATGGGTTATGCATATTATATAGGTACTCAAAAACATTTACAACTCTATATTAATATGTACCTAATAATGCTTGTCTCATTGTGTTTTCTAAAGATGTTCCAGTAACTCTTCGTTTTTCTGCAACGGTTGTCAAATTTAAGCGCCCCAAATCTGCGAAAAGAATTATTATTAATTTTCTGTACAATAACATTGTAATCAACTTTAGGTTCTTATAATGGTTACCAAGTCTTACATTATCTCTCATCATCAAAAAGTTTATTTTATTAAAAATGTTGTATGAAACAAAACGTTAAATAAATAAAATGAAGCAAATCTAAACTCTATAACAAGGTTTACAGGCTATTTATGACTATCGAAAAATTACCTTTGACTTTATCAGCTTCAGGAATAACAATTTATGTAACAAATACATCAAACATCAAATTATAATGCAGTCAATAAAACCAGTTTTATAAATATTATATTTTATAAATAACAATCATTCATAACTGAGATAAATTAGACCAATTAATTAGAAATATTATTCTATAAATGTTAAAATATTTCTAATAGCAATATTTGAATAAATGGTTTATATTTTATTTGGAATGCGTATAAAAAGCTTAAGTATAAACTGTAGACGGGGCGAAAAGGGAAAATGGTACCTCTTGCATAAAAAATTTAATTTTGAGTTAAAGATTTTCCGAAATTCCGCCCTAAACTCTGAACATTTTGAGATAAGAAATGTTCTCTAGTCTTCAAAATTGGCGGCGTTATATTTGTTTGAATTTATTTTTGGAAAGTAATTTTTTTTATATAAAGATTAAAGCTTTGAAATATTGTTGAACATTTTTGTGTGACATACTTAAGGGATGATGTTAACCCTACAATTATAATAAAATTCCTTTAACCTGATAACAATAATGTTTTTTTTTAGTATATACTTTAATTAGTCTTAAATCAATATCTTATAGTTTTTCTTTAAAACTACAAATATGTATATAAATGTATTAATTTATTAAATGTTTTATTTACTTGATGGGTCTCTTATTTCTGGTTGCTTCATAAACTGGTTGACCATGGTTACTGAAAATAAATACAAAATATATTTTCATGTACCTACATGCTTATTTTAATGTAAGCAATATGTCAAAATAGTATTTGTCAATCGGAGTATAATAGTTACTACTTTTCTTTATAGTATAGGACACAAATATGTTATTTGATAAAATAAATGTATAAAAGAATATGCATGGTGTTCATATTGTAAAGCATATTGGTTCAAAACACATATAACTCCATATTAATGTTTACCTAATGCACGGCTGATTATATTTTTTAAAACTGTTTTAACTAGGCGTCTTCTCGGTTCTGCAAGGGCTGTCAAATCTATGTCTCTAGAATCTGAATCATCTAAAAATGATTAATTTATGAATGTGTTGAGAAGAAATAAAAAAGTATTTTAGTTGCTCGTGATACATAATTATTGCATTACATTTTCAAGTAATTGTGATTTAACTAATTTGTTGTACAACCCGTCATTAGTTTTGGAACTCAACAAATGTACAAAACAAATTTACATTTAAGACAAGTTCTTAAGAAAAAAAATATAAATATATATAGTGTTTTTAATATATGAAATTATAATTTGTTTCTTTTACGAATTAGTCAAAATACATTAACAAACATAATTTTTAACAACGTAAATCGTTACAAAGGTTTACTCGTACTCTCTATTCTTCTCTCCTTAATACAAAGTTTATTTTATTAAAATGATTTTTTGACATAAAACAATTTAAATAAATAAAATGAAGCAGATCTTAACTCCGTAACAAGCTTTACAGGTTATTTGCGACTATCGAAAAATATATAATTACCTTGATCTCTTTTAATATGCGAATAATGAATGGTAACATATAACGGACCTGTGGAAAATACATCAAACGTCAAACTATTATGCATTTAATAAAACCAGCTTTATGTATTTTACATACAACAGACATTATTAAACTGAGATTAATTAGACCAAAATTATAATGCAAAATATTATTGTATAAATGGAAAATTTAATGGAGAATTTCCAATTACTACACTTAAACGGTTTAAATTATATTTCGAATGATCATCAAAAGCTTAATAATAAAACATAAAAAGGATTTGCCTGTAAGCTTTCAAACAACTTTTATTGGTTTTCTTTAAAGATCTGCAATTACAAAACTTTCAATTTTTTTAATTTTATATTTACTCAATTTAGCTCTAACTTCCACTTCCATCAAATACTGGTAATGCATGGCTTCTAAAATTAAAAACAAAATATACATTAATTTACATATTAATCTACATAATATTAATATACATTAATCTACATACTATTTATGGATGAAACCAATAGGATTACATATTGGTATTTTGCAATACATACATATGATTAATCTTAATTAAGTAATTATAAATAATGAATATGCGTTAAGTATAATAAATATGAAATAAAAAAATGTGGTTACTTTTTATTTCGTTTTCGAAGGTATTTGCAGGTTCTGAAATTAAAACAAAAATGTAGTATGCATAAATAATATCAAACAACTGTGTGGTAACCTAATTTGCAATGGGAAGTCTTACCTACGGGTATATGGGCGACAATTTCTATTTGGTCTAAAATAACATTACACAAAATTAAAGATATTGCATTTAATTTTATATCCTATTATAAACAAGAAAACAAAATTCAAAAGAGAAAAAACATATATATTAGTATTAACTCTGAAAAAATATATGCTCCTCTGAAAATTAAATACATTGGGAATCTCTTTGGAAAATTCAATAGGAATGAAATATTGGAAATATTTTCATAAAACCCAACGAAAACTATTACCTGGTCGAGCGATCATAAAATTCATTGTGGCTGAAATTGACAATAAATAAGTTATTGATATTGGATTGATTTTCTAATAGAAATTATTACATTATATAATAATAAATTAGAAAAAGAAAAAGACAATGTAGAAAAAAACTTTCTTTATTAAATAGACTACGGAATCTTTATGAAAATATAATTGTTGAATTGAAGCAGTTGTGGCGATGAGAATAACCAGGTAAATAAAATAATAATAAAACCCTTAACCATTAAAATAATGTACTACTCCATATAAGAAAGATAAATTTGAGTTCACATTTTTCAATTTTTTTTCTATTTTTATATGTTTTATTATTGTTATAGTTATGATTACCGAAATCCCCATTATAATAGTTATCATCAAATATTGCTTCAATTACATACTCCAATGCATCTACAATCAACAAATAAAGAATTTTACTATACTAATATATTAAAATAATATTGAATTGGGTACAGTATAAAACTTTATATTAATATTAAATCATGCTTTAAGTAGTAGCTATTAAATTTAACACTACTTCCTCGATTAGGATATTACTAATCGCTAATTTAAATATAATAGTGTTACAGAATCATACTTGTTACAGGATTATCTTCTATAGTTAAATTATTCACGTTAAAAGCTTTCTCGATGGCTATGTCTATAATACATAATTCAAAAATATGTTTAAAGTCAGTGAGTTTTAAAAACTTAAGAAACATTTTTTTTATAAAACAAAAATACTACTAACTTATACGGCGAACCATATCCGCATATACCCCTGTAAAAACATGAAATATTGAATTTTTTCAGGTTGGTAATTGTAAAAATATAATAATTACTTAGATCATCTGCCGAAACATTTACGAAGAGGAATAATATTAAAAAACAGAAATATTTCATTTTTATCTGCAAATAACAATAAACAAATCAATTTTTATAAATACACATTTATACTTTTCATTTCTTAGCTCTGACCGATAACCGATAAACTTGTTACCAAAAACTTGTTTCAAAAAAAGCGTTACGCTGGTGGTGGGAAAGCGGGGGGTAGGGGTGGGAAAGAGGTTGGGGTTGGAATGGGGTTTAGGGTGGGAATGGGGTTGGGGTAGATATGGGATTGGGGGGTTGGGATAGGGTTGGGGTTGGCTGTCACGCTGCTATTTGATAAGAGATAAGGGATGGGGTTAGGAATGGGGTTAGGGCCTAGGAGTGGGAATTAGCTTTGGCACATAACCAATAAAAGTGTTACCAAAAAAGCGTTACGCTGTTATTTTAAATTATGTGTTGTATTCACAACAATCAAATTATAACTGAAAAATAAATTCAAAATAGTTTAAAGGGCAAAATTCTCTATAAATTGTTTTAGGCCAGATATTATGAAACACTAAAATATTCACCATAAACTTGATATTATGTTTACTAGCCACCTTAGATACTAGCTTGTTACTGCTTGTTAATATCACTATTAACAAGCACTATTGTACTATTTTATTATCTATAATTCCACACCTCACTAAATTTTTTCGGTACTTCAACGAGACATGAAAATGCTCTTTCGTAGTTGCAGACTCAGCTGAAAAATGCTTTTTTTTTACTTTATCGAAAACATTTCCTAGAACGACAATTTTTTTCTTTTTTTGTGTAGCAAGATAGAAATTGAGCCAAAATTGTATTTACTTCACACTTATACAGATAGACAGAAAAAGAAAATAGTCTCTGTTTATTTTGTAAATTGCTTTGTGTAAAAAAGTTAGAAATTAGAATACACTATACAAAATACAAAATAGTAAAGGTATTTACTATTTCAGGTTTAACTATATTGTTATTAAAGCTAGATTTCAAGAAGAGATATTTTATTTTCATAATTTTTCTGTAATCGTCAAAAATAAAATTCCAAAATTAAAAACGTGTAAAATCAAGTTTTTTTTAAAAAAATGTCTTTTTATTCACTAAAGACTAGTTAATTTTACTCCAAATTTGAAAAACAAAATTTGATATTGAAAAATTCCGCTTCCAAAAAAGTTATTTTTTAATACAAAACTTATGCGGTTGGTTATTAAGGAGTTTTGTACAGGCAATATTTAAAAAAAAAGTGGTTTTAATAAATTTCGATCATACTATTATTTTTAATTTAAATTATTTTATCTATGAGTAAATACCATTTTAGTTAATATAACATAAATTTTTTGTTCCATCGCACAGGCTGAACCAGTGATTCGATAAGTAATCTGAAAACAGATTTGAATTTTTCATGAAGTTTACTTATGTTCGGTAAGGGTACTTTTTGATAACTTATTCCTATTATGTATAAAACACGTTTAAACATTATATAAAATTTTAAATTTTAAAATTAAATTTTGAAGGGTTAAAATAAAAAATTGAAAAAAGTACCGTGACCAATCATAAGTAAATTTCGTGGCAAATTTAAATCTGTTTTTAGATTGCTTATCGGATCACTGAGTCGGTCTGTACAATGGAATAAAAATAATGTGTTTTGACTGAAAAAACCGACTGCATGTAATCCCCTTAAAGACAAGTTAAAATACATTTTTTTTTCATATTTTTATTGTTATATATTTTGAAGATTATGAAAAATGATTAAAATAAAGTTGTACGCATTTTATAATAGGCAAACTTTAGTTGCTTAAAAAATAATATATTTTTAGTTTTAGTAGTTTTTTAATTTTTTGAGCTATGGTGGATAATCTGTATCATTTTGCTAAATAATGCATTTTGGCGAAATATTCAAAACAATTTTTTTTTTATTTAGTTTTGTATACACCATGAAAACGGTTTGAATAATTGCCTTCTTTCACTACACTCTATAATATTACTAAATTTTCACTACACCCTATCTGTTTTGTAAAAAAAAATTTAAGAAAACCGTTCTCTCAAAAACGCTGTTAATACTTATTAATGTGTCTTTTACACTCTTGGCTCACTAAAAGCATTTCTTTTTAATTTTAGCAAAATTAAAATTTTTAGAATTTTCTATAAGTACTTACTAAATTTGGTGAACTGAAAGAATTTCGTAGAAAATAATCGTCTTGATGTTATTTTGAAACTGAAAGTTTTTCTTGCACAATATTATAGAAGAGCTTGTATTTCGACTAAAGAATAAGAATCAAATAAGTTTTTGCAGTGTAACCATGTTCATTTATGTACTCAGTTGGTTTATTTTTTTTTTATTATGATTAATGGTGCTCATACAATACTCGTGGTGTTGATTTCATGTAAAATATTAAAAAGAACAAATCCGATTTTGTACCTTTTAAACGCATGTAAAAGAAATATATTTACACACGCGGATTAACGCAAATCATTAGTTAGTATTTTCAAGCCAGTACAGTCCAGACCGAGCACTGTGTGTTTTACACTGTGCTAGGTTAGGTTAGAAAGTATTAAATTGAGGTACTGTATTTACAAATAAGTATCAAAGCGTTTATTTGAAAGTGATTTTATTCACTTTTAACACTTTTATTTGTAATAATTCTTGTAGACCTGTGACCTCTCCGTCCCCTTTATGCTTTGATTCCATTATGCCTATACTCCACTGTACTAGTCCTCTCGGATAAAAGCTGGCAGACGTACTTAACGCACTGTTAGGCCATCTACAATGGGCCCAGATTACTGATGTAAAAGCGTACCATCCAGCTTTCCCAGACGAGTTAGTTTCGTTTTCGGGAAAGGATTTATTCATTCAAAGAGGTCTGTTCTCTCGGACGAAAAACACTGGCAATTTTCACGTTGATGTCGATAACGTGTTCGAAAAACACTACATGGTCACCTGTTTGTTAGGGTGTGTATACGCAAATGTGACGATAACATTCACAAAGATAATTGAACAAATTTTGTCTGTAAGTAGTAACGAAAAACGAATATCGAAATAAAGAATGTATAAAAAACGTCACGTTCACAAGAGAAAAGGGAAAACCCTGGGAAAAACAGCTCGTGAACATAGTGAAAATCATAATTATTTACCGCCCACAGACCAATTTATTGACTATGCAAGTTCTTGGGACATTTTCAATTTTACGTATCGACAATTAGTGTACAGTCAACCGATGTTTGAGTACATGTATAACGCATTAGTTTATTTGTATAGATTAATTCCGGTCGAGGAATTTCATTTATATCCTAACTTTTTAGACATACAAAGTATAATAGATTTGCTGGAGTGGTACAAAGATGTATTGATCAATTTAAAACTTCTTCTTCCAACATATGTCGGTGTACACGACGATGACTATAAGTCAAAAGTTTTTAAGTTTTCCGCAAAATTGATCAGGTCTATTGATAGTAAAAACGTGTATAAGTTGAACCCGTTTGTAGGCCAATGTTGCGCACTTCCGGTAAAGAACAACCAGCCCATCAACGAATTAATACAGAAATTTCAAATTAATTTTCCACAAAAAGAAAGAACGGATATCAAGTATCAATTCGGAAAGCAAATTCAAGAGCTCGTTAAAAATGTTATGTCTGATTACTTTTTAAAATTAGGTTTCGTGCACATCGAACGATTTTACTTGGAGCCTTATCTAAATTAAATAATTAATTAATAAGTTGTCATAATAAAAATACAATAAAAAAAACATTTTTTTAATTATTATACAAACTACTATATTTAAATCCCTCTTAACCTCTCACTCTATTAGTCATGCAATTGCATTTTAATATAATACGAATATGTATGTATTATATTTTAATGTTTAATACAAATGCAGGCTCTATTTAAACTATACATTACAGCTGGTAGGTAAATATTGCATTATGCATAGTTCCAGTGAATGACAACCAGCCCATGAAAAAAATATTGCAGCAATTTAAAACTCAATTTCCTGACAAAAAAAAAGGATATCAAAAATCAATTTGAAAAGCAAATTGATGATCTCGTTAAAAATGTTATCAATAAATTATTTAGATTTTGGTTTTGTGTACATCGAAAAATGCATTTTCTAAATTATTACTACTAAATTTTTAGGCAACAATGTCGTCTTATGACTCAAAATTGATAAATTTGTTTTAAGATTTTACTACTGACAATTTTTCAACCTAATGGTTGGTAAAGGCCAAAAACTGGGCGACCTATTCTTTGAAATCTATTATAAATACAAGCGGCCTCTAGGGTTATCCACTCTAATACCTCATAAAAGGAGTAGGCAGTTATAAACAATTGTACATTAATGTTGTATAATTTTATATTGTCACTTGTTCGTATGTACTTACCTACTATTTTGAAATTTAATATATTTTTGTGTACAGATAAAAGCATCTCATAACCTATAACGTTTTTTAATATAACAACTTAAATTAAAAATAATAATAATAAAAGACTTTCGTACTTAGTACTTAAAAATATTAAACAAACACATATAATGTATATAAATATTTTAAAAAAACTGCTAGACTTCTAAACAGGATTTATTGAAAACGAATATCTTTCAAATCATTTAATATTACTAAAATGTAAATATATTTTTGCTGGATTTTTTTGTAATTATAAATCATTTGTCTTAATTTATTTTTGAACTAAAGGGACATATTTGTTTAAAATACACTTATCATTTATTGAAAAAAATTATAGTAACTCACAAATTTACGTGTTTTGTATTTTATGGTTTGAAATATTTAACATTTTAACTGGGAAACGTTACACATACAGCTGAGGTACAACGTATGTTATGTTGCCTATTTATTTTTTAAGGCGCTTAAGCATTTGTGGCCTTTTGACAGTTGTTTATAATTTGTTTTGCTCGTCGTCATTTTCAAATTGAATATATTATCATTCAAGATGAATTAACACTTATTTTGCTGGTACTATTTATACCAATATTAATAAAAATATCAAACTGGTTGGTTGATTCGCCTATTACTAATATTAACATTGTCTAGTGTCCAGATTCAAAAAACAATATTTTAAAATTGCAAATCAATGGGTCAAATATTAAAAAACAAATAAAAACTAATATTATTTCTATACATGCTAAAGTAATTCCAGAAATTGGTAATTGCATACTTAAAATATGTTAATATAAAAACAATTTTAACATTTTCGTTTTTCTAATACGGTGCGAGCACAGTGGGAGTAGAGCATATTATAAAAAGTGTTCAATATAAAAATACTATATTTTGTAATTGTTTCAAAAACGCCTAATGGTTTTCTTGAAAAATCAAGACATTGTCTCTTGTTCGTATGTACGCGCTGTGATTCATGTTGAAATTTAATATTTTTTTGTGTACAGATATCAAAAGGCTCATTATCTATAACGTTTTTTAATATAACAACTTAAATTAAAAATAGTAATAAGAAAATACTTTCGTACTTAGTGCTAACAAATAATAAGCAAACAAGTATAAATTATATAAATATTAAAAAAATATTAATAGACTTCTAAACAGTATTTATTAAAACCAATGTATACTGTATATACACATAATATTATAGCTATATATACTATACAT